ATACAATGCTGCAGAACACAAAAGTGACCAGTGGTGTTTACTACATCAATGTAGATCACACAGTTCAGAGGATTGTGTAACTCTGCGTCAATACAGGCAGGACTACCAAGACCAAAGGCAGGATTATCAAGAGCGCAATCCACGGCCTAAAATTCAAAATCCGTCGGGGGAAGATTTGCGCCATGTCCAACACGACCTGGAATAAGATCACATATAACTAGCAATGCTTCCATGACAGCTTCATTGATCGCTGCACTAAGTAAAGTGGAAGTATTGACAATACCAGTAAGTATAGGTAACACCAAGCTCTCCTTAGACATAGATACAGGAGCGTGCGCTAATGTTATCTCGTTAACGGCATTTACTGAATTGAATCGACGTTCTCCTGACAATAAATGGCAAATAAGACCAACTGATGTCGATCTCTCCGGAGTATCAGGCCAACATTTAGTTATTATGGGAGTCATTACAATACCTATATGTTTTTGTGATTCCAGTGAAACCTTTCTAGCAGAGTTTTATATAGTAAAAGATTTTTCTCTGCCAGCTGATGGATTATTAGGTCTTCAAACACTAAAACAAAATAATATAGATGTCCAGCCTAGTTGACATTTAATAGCACTACATACCATGCTATGCAAAATTCACATCCAATGCTCAGCACAAATGTGAAAGTGATAACTAACTCAACCGGTATGAGGAAGGTTGTCCACGAGCCCAAACTTGCTAAAGATTGGATCATAGTACCTGCAGTCCTAACAGGTACTCAACATTTTCAGAATGAGGAAATAACCAGAGCTACTGTCCGGTTGCCAGATGTTCACACTGGTACTGACGTAGTCTGTCTTAGCGAAAGTGTCCAAGATTAAAGGTCTATCATTTGAGTCTACCTTGAGCACAATAAGACCAGGTGGTTTAACAAATATCCTTGTTCTTAATAGAACTGGCAGCTCCAAAATCTTGAAAAACAGATGTTGTCTTTGTGGTTTCCTGGTATATCATACTAATGTTGTTGCACAGCCTAATCAATTACTAATTGGTAGCGTTACACCAACGCAAGAACAAACCAAGCAGGAGAAGTTCGATCAAATAACTCCACAGGTCAAGGTGATTGACCATCTCCAAGGCAAAAGTGAACTAGTTACTAGCTGACTATCCTGACATAGTAGTATTACCTGGGGAACCGTGAGGTCAAACAAAATTAACCTCACACCACACATCTTTAAAACCAGACACTAACCCTGTCTACATACCAGCTTATAGAGTGCCTCATAGCCAACGGCCCATAGTTGAGGACATGGTTAAAGATATGATTGAACAGATAGTAATCACACATTCGTCATCCCCTTGGAATTCTCTTTTTCTAGTTCCAAAGAAAGATGGAGGATGACGACCTGTTATTGACTTTAGACGAGTCAGTGAAGCAACTATACCGGCTAAGTACCCGATGCCTGTTCTGAGTAATTTGTTGCAATCCTTGGGAAAAGACAACGCAGTTTTTAGTAACCTCGATCTTCTTAGCGGGTATTGGCAAATTCCTCGTAACGAGAAATCCCGCGAGGTGACTGCATTCAGCACTCCCTTGGGACAGTTTTAATTTTTAAGAATGCCATTCGGACTACGAAATGCTCCATTAACATTTCAACAAATGATTAATACACTGTTTGCAGGAATGATTGGCAATACAGTTTATGCCTATCTAGATGATTTGATTATTGTAAGCAAAGACGTAAACAGTCATCTTGTCAAATTACGCGAAGTGTTTAAAAGACTTCATAAAGCAGGTTTGAAAATTAAGCTCTCTAAATGTGAATTTCTCAAATCTAAAGTTCAATTCCTTGGACACGTAGTTTATGGAAACAGCATCCATACTATGGACTGCAAGGTTAAAGCAGTTGACCGATTTCCGTGTCCTACAAATGTAGACAAAGTGCGTAGTTTCCTCGGACTTTCCGGCTACTATTGCTCATTCATTCACGGGTATGCTAAGTTAGCCGCCCCGCTGACAAAATTACTAAAAAAAAAGATGCAACATTTGTTTGGAACATTGAACAGGAAAACAGTTTCAATGCATTAAAGGAAGCATTGACCAATGCACCAGTATTGGCATTCCCTGATTATACTCAACCTTTCACCCTGTGCACCGACACCTCTGAACAAGGGCTAGGAGCTATTCTCATGCAGCTAGACACTAGAGGGAAAAATAGAGTAATTGCTTATGCAAGCCGTAAACATAATGATGCAGAAACACGCTATTCAGTAACTCATGTAGAGGCGTTAGCTGTTGTCTGGTCATTAAAGAAATTCAGAGATGTGATATTTGGTTATCAAATAACAGTCTATACGGATCATGCAGCAGTAACGGAGTTATTCCATGGAAAGAACCTCTCAGGCAGACTTGCACGTTGGTACTTGACCATTCAAGAATTCGAACCCAACTTTAAACACTTACCGGGACGAGCGAATGTGGTTGACGACGCACTGTCTAGACCGGTGGTTCTCAGAGTCCCAGGTCACGTTCCTCCCTTTGCGATCCCGGATTTCCTCAATTCCTCCCCCATTTTGAATTGTCATCTTGTAATATTTTCACCATTATACTTTTACAGTGGTAATTATTGAAACAATTTATGAAACTAAATTGCTTTATTAATTGCCATCAAATGAAAAAAGAAATCCTTATTTCAATGGATCATAAAACTTCTATTTGATTTAATGCCCATTTTGGCCTGCGTGCAGAGAAACTAAACTAGAAAACCGAGGAACAAATCCAGTTAGTTTTGCTCGAAGGTCACAACGCTCACAAATGATGAGACGTCCTCGTTTTTTAGTCAACATATTCATAACAGCACTAAAGGCACATTCAACCAAGCACTTGCTGAGCCTCTGTAGCTAATTTTTTATATTTGGCAACAACTTGGGGATCCAGCCACATGAAGTGTTGTTATGAAGCATGAATCGGTTTCATACTGTCATCATTTTGCATGTCCATTAGCTCGTCGATCTGATGAGACTCCATTTTAGCCAGGCAGTCATTATTTTCCAGTTAAAGAGAAATGGCTGAGCAATCCAAGAAGGGAAGTTGATATGTTTCAGATCAATGAATCTGTCGCTCAGGTCATCATGGAGGTTGGAGAGGTGTTCTGAGATTATTTGTAAGACATTTTGTGATGGATCACATTTACTGAGATGTGGAAAGTGAGAGAGGTTATTTTTCAAGACCTGGGCCTTCAAAAAACCCAGTTTCGAATCTAAGCATCCAAATACTTATGGTAGTTAGAGTAAAATTAAACCCATTAATTAATATAAATGAGGATATTCCCAGTGGTTCATTAGTGAATCATCAAAACAATAACAGCACTATATTGTCATGTTTACTGAGCATCAGGCATTCTCAAAACAAAGTTCAGACATTGTCATTACTTCTCAATTGACTTGTATCTCCAACCGTGCATCATCTGCAGGATAAGTGGTGACATCATTGCAAATGGCGGCCCTGTTTCTATAGAAATAAACTTATCTCGACTATTATAGCAGGACTTCAAACTTTTAATACAAACTATATATACCGTATCACTCTCCGAACGTGGCAGTGTATTTCTTGTGTTTACCCAGAACCGTCAACTCGTCCATTGTCTTGATGACCTCAGGGACATCTGGTGCATGGGTGAAGCTGTGACATTTCCTCCCAGGACTGTGTGATGTTGTCAAGACCTTTCTTAATGTTGTAAGTCTTCCAGAAGTCTCGTACAGACAATCCACAACAGTCTGTTTCTGCCACCAGCTGCATCATCACAAGGAGTGTGTAGTAAGCCTTGAATATGGCTATTACGCCTTGATCAAGGGGCTGGAACAGTACAGTGGTGCTTGGTGGCAAAAACATAACTTGTATGTTGTCACACCAGTCAACCATAGTGTGTGGGTGGTAAGGGGCATTATAAAACAAGATGGGGCACTTGTTTGACACATTATTAGCTGCTGTGTACCGTGCAATGAACGGTGACATATAATTGCAAATACAGTGGTCCCACGATTAACAAACACAATGGGGTCCACAGAGTCGTTCGTTAACTGAATCTGATATTTCAATGGGATATTGGGTAATTGGTTCCAATTCACAGAAAAAGTACATTCAAAGTACTGTATACAGGTAATAGAATTAACAAAACATTAAACATAAACTAAATACAGTACTGTACTATACAGTATACTGTATAACAATAAATAAAAAACAATAGAATACAATATTTTAACTTACTTTGTGATGTGTGTTCCCGGCAGCTTTGTTTACATATCAAACAGCTGATTGTAGAGGCAGTCGATGATGACATGCCATATTCTTTACAGAAAGCATTGGTTCTAATGCCTTCTTCATGTTTCATAAGAATTTTTGCACTGTATATTATCAACATGTAAACTAAATTTCAGAATGACCAATAATTTTAATGTAAAAATGCAAAAATATTCAAGAGACCAACAAACTGGATGTTCACTCCACTGTAAACAAAGTTAAACTGAGAAGCGTTGGTGGGTGATTCGATCAGCTGATTGGCACACAAAAACTGTTCCCTGTACTGTATATATTATCAATATGTTAATTACATTAGAATGACCAATAATTTTAATATAAAAAATGCAAAAATATTCAAGAGACAAACTTTCTTGATATTTACTCCACTAGAAACGAAAGTAAACATAGAACCAATTACTGTATTGGCGGAATAGCCAATCAGCTGATGTGCGCAACAAAGCGTGTTTCTCGTAAGGCTTTCGTTAATTTAAGTTTTGTTCGTTAATGGAGGGACCACTGTGTATGTATGTATATATATGTATGTATGTATGTATGTGTGTGTATATATATATATATATATATATATATATATATATATATATATATATATATATATATATATATATATATATATATATATCTTGGTAAAAACACTATGGTCACAATAGACATTTGGAAGCTTCACTAATAAAATGTACTGTATACATACATGTTTGAATTCTTTCATTTTATTTATATTAACATTAAAAATTTTAGATTTCCTTCACATCACAAAACACCCCAAATAAGCAATTTATTTTACTTATTATTAATACAAACAAACATTGAGTTAAATACAAAATTCATTGACCACAACATGAATTTTGTTTTCATCAAAAACCTCTAATACATTCTAAAAGACCTGATCATCACATATATGTAGTCGTTGACAAAATACTCTCGCCACAACTAGTAGTACTACTGCACTTGTACAAACATTCAGATCATATTACAATATTTCAGTCTCCTATCCTGTAATCTTCATCATCTTTCTCTTAATCAATCTCATAATATACTTATCTGCTTGTTACTTACCTACATCCTCATCACCATCATCCTCATCACCATCATCATCATTCTCATCATCATCATCATTCTCATCATCATCCTCTTCCTCATCAACATCAATCTCCTCAACATCATCCCCTTCCTCCTCTTCATCTTCCTCATCATCATCGTCTTCTTCACCACCATTTTCTTCCTTTTCCTCCACCTCCTCATCATCATCATCATCTTCCTCTTCACCTCCATTTTCTTCCTGCTCCTCTGAATCTTGTTGTTTACTTGCTACTTCTTTAACCTTTATAGAGAAAATATTCTACATGTTATTAAACCCTACATTCATATATACTAAAAATTTCTATTTCAGAACAGATTTGAACCCCCAATGAATTTCCATTCAGTTACCTATAACGCTAAACCCAAAGCTCTCATTAGGGGATTTACTTAGTATTGTATGTACCTTTAAGCAGAACAATCTAATATATTTTATTTCTGTATGAAGCTTTATATATAAAATCCTTAAGTTTTTAAACCTATTACATTTACAAAATGCTTCCGCTTTCTGAGAAACTTAAATTTGTATTGTTACAAGATTTAATTGTACAGTGTAAATACGGTGGAGTCTTCGTAATTGGTGGGTCAAGTACCAGACAACATATTGAATTATTAAATCAAGAATGTTAAATTTTTTTAAATTAAAATAATTAATTTGGTTCCAAAGACCAAGAAATACCCCAAAACTGTTCCAAAAGTGCTTTAATAAACACCAAACAGCTCCTTTCCTTCTCATAATTTCATGTGGGTTATGCCAATACACCAACAAGGAGACAGATAGGCAGCAGGCTGACTGTGACCACACTTTACAATAAAGTTTTATTGACCAGGTAACAAAGGAACCTAAATAATATGGGAATTATGGTAAAATTATATAATGTTGTGGTAAGAAGGTCTGAGGCAAAGTGTCAGCATGACACTTGGGAAAGGGTAGAGGGGGGGAAGTCCACCAACCAACCACCCTGAATGAAGTGATATTTATAATATTTTCTTTACTTCTAAGTCAAATTAAAGCAGTGAAAGGATATTCCCACAACTTTTATGGTTTCTAATGTAACCAAACACTGCAGCAGTCAGCATTCAACTGTGAATTATGAATATTTGACAGCTAAATTAAAAAAAAGAGGTAGTAATACGGATACCCGTGAAATTAAAAATGTGAATTTGTATTTCATTAATTACTGTATCAAGATACCACTGTATTTCATTATTACAGATTTACAGTACAATAAATTTTATCAGTTTCTCCTCTGTGAAAGAGGATCCCACAAGCATGACTGCCCATTAGGGACAGTGTGGATACAGTACACAGTTATAATGATTGTCTATCAGACCACAGCTGTCTTAGTCCAGAAGAACAACAACACACATAGCAGTAACTAATGAAGAAGGTGTACACCTACCTAAGTTGACCCACCCTATAGTAATGAAACGAGATAAAGATCTGACCCAACAAGGGACATGAGGGGAAAAGGTGTTCTTGTTCATGAGAGGAGACTCCATGACCCTGTAAATCAAATAAATGCTTCCCTCTGGCCAGCAGTAAGTCACTCCAGGATCAGGCCTACAGTAAACAGGACATGCCACCATAAACTAACTTAGATAAGATCGATTTGTATACGTAGTATTTTATTTACCTGATGACTTATTTTTTACTTCCATTTAATGTATTTTGTCACTCTATTTCTTTTGTCTTATATTAAGTGGCTTTAGTTTTATATGAAGACTTAGGCTATTATATAGTGGGATTTTAAACATTGTTCTGTAAGTACGGTAAGCAAGTAGCATGTGTTCTGACTTGCGCACAAATCCAACTTAAGAACATCCTCAGGAACAGTACCCGTTCGTAACCCGAGCCCACCCCCCGTACTTTAAATGATATGTTATCAAGCAACTGTGAAAGCTTTTCAAATTCAGATATACCCTGTATAAAAAAAATACAAATTTGAAAGTGTGTGTGGCAACAACAGTACGCATCCTGTTAATGGTAATATACGTACACTGTTGCTCTAAAGTAATTTACTGATGTTCAGATATTATTTCAAGTTCTGAATCGCACTCGAGTCAATACAGGTATATACGTACAGTATTAGTAAATTATATCAGACTTTTTCATCTAACAATATATCGCAAATGCCAATTTCACTCTGGTAAGGGGAAGCAAGGCCACGACTCATGCTAGTCAACACGAGGGGGAAATGGGATGCTCATTGCTCCCAGCACTTCACAATTTTTAAAATGATGTAGATCTATTTCTGCAGTTTATTGCCTCGAGTACCATTTGATTTTTAAACGTGATTAAAAATTTTGTTTTATGTAAATGTGTTTAAAAATGTAATAAATTATGAAGTTTTGGACCAGAAATTGTTTCCCTAGGAATGCATTTATCATTAGACAATGGGAAAATAGTATCAGTTTGACAGAAATCTGGTAAAGTACTGTACACAGCAAACAAAGTTGTATATTAATTAAAACAAATCAGTTCTTTAGTTTGCTCTGAAGTACACGTTAAACATGACAACAGACAGATGACTCATCTGTCATGTACACTATACATTCTTAACACACTCAGGTCCGGCCCCTCCATTTATTTGTTCTGTACATCTGGCCGTGTGTAAAAATTTATGGCAAGCAAAAAAGTGTACATTATAATCTTTTATCCATAGCAATCATTCTAACTGTGGTTGTGATGAATTTAGTACTGTAATGATCCTGAATATAGTCTCTACAAGTTTCTTTCAATAAAATATCCTGGAATTGTTTTGTGTTTTAATTTTAACTATATAATGTTGAGAATTTTTTTTTTTATGAAAACTATATGTTAAATTCTCCTATTTACATTAATGCATTACAAGTACTGTACCAGTAACTTAGTTGTATCTTACCTTTAATTTCTTCATGGGAGATTTTCCACCTCCATTCTCGGTATTTTCCTTCACCCTTGACTTTGCAAACATTACTAATACGTCCTCGCCATTAATTTTGCGATTTTTAGACATGTTAAATACTCTCAATGCTTCTGCTGGAGTTGGGTAGGTGATGAAAGCAAATCTGAAAGTAAATAATAATTGCAGAAATGAAGGAGAGCCCATGAAATCCTATTTCATTACTGAACCCATAACCAGGTACCCACAGAAGAATAGTCATGATTCCTGAACTGTTAACCTGGGTTTAACTTTCAGACAAGACAAACTAGGATTGAATTGGTTGCTCTGCCCTGTCACACCAAAATCCCCCCAAAAGATCTTTAGGGTGACATAGTTCACCACTTACAGGGGCTGATCCAGGTTTTTTTTTGAGGGTGGAAGATTCAGATTTTGACTGCACAGAAAAAACAAAATCCCAATAAACTTTGTAAAGTACCCTAACCTGGGGCTTAAGGGTTAACTTTCAATGGTGGAGAGAAATGGGCAGCCAATGTCACTCAATCCACTTCCGAGATAAAACAAAATAAATAAAATAATACAGTAATAAAAAAAAATATATACAAAAATAAGATTAGTTTTCTTTTTTCCTAAGAATAAATAAACAAAAACTTTCATATTACCTATTTTTTTTGTTTTTCTTGCTATTCCTTGTATAGTCAATGCGTACTGAAGAATGGAAGCTATTCCTAAGGTCAGAACGGGTGGCACTTTCTGGAAGGTTTCCAACATACAATCTGCGGAGAAAAGATATTACTATTAATTTATTCATCAACCAATTTAACACACAAAGATGTACTTTCTAAGGTACATTATTTTAGCCTTGATGCATACAGTAAGTCCCCTGTTAACGTCATGGTTATGTTCCTGTAAATCACTGCGTTATGTGAAACGACATTAAGTTGATAAATTTTTCCCATAAAAAAATTAAGAAATAGGTAGGTTATGTTCCCAGCCTCCCATCACCTCTATAATTTCCATCACGATTAAGACAATATAAACAGAATGTAAATACTGTACCTGTATATTCTGCGCAGTTAATGCATTACATATAAATATAAACTACAATAATTTTTAATACTGTACCAGTACAGCAAGTCCTCGCTAATGTCGTGGTTCCGTTCCTGAAAACCGCAATGTTAACGGAATCAATTTTCCCATAAAAAATTGATACAATACGGGAGTTACGTTCCTGAGCCTCCCTTTGCCCCATGAAATACATTACATGGACTGAAATTCAATGGCATTTTTAAAGAATATATTACCACTTCCAGCACTAACCTTAATCTTGTTGGCTTTGGTCCGGATAGTACACACTGTTGTCGGGGTTAAGACCTAGAGCAGCAGCTATGTCCACCGCACGTTCCTCTTTTTCAAAATGGTTTAAAACCTCCATTTTCATAGCAAGGCTAATGGTATTACGTTGCTTATTCACAACACTTGCATCAATAGCACTTGATGGGTGCTTGGAAGCCATTTTGAATTGTTAGAGTTCAGTATTAAGAGCAAAAACACTTAAACACACACGAACGCTGTGGAAACCTAACAAAGACTGGAAGTGCTTGGGGACACCTTGACGTTCTGCGAGTGAGAGGTAGCGTGCCAAGACGAGTGAGTGTAGCTCCGCAAGACGAGAGAGAGGGTTAGGCGCAGTAAAAAAGTAGTCCTTGACAATGCTAAAAACAACATTATATTGAGTCGTCGGGACGTTAACCAAATTATTGGTATCTAAAGAGTAGCGACGTTATAACAAAACACCGTTATCAGGGGCAATGTTAAACTAGGACTTCTGTATTGTACATTGGCAGTATTTGTTTACCCATCAATATATACAGGGATGTGTCATTTAATGATCAGGATGCGTTCCTGAAAAACAGATCGCTAAGTGATTTGATCTCTGAGCAAACAGAAACGAGAAATAATATCTTAAATAAAGGATAACGAGGAATAATATCTGTGGAGATGGCACGTAATTGTGTAGCTGAGTCGCCGGCTGACCGACTCGCCACCCAGTAGCACTCAATATGAGTGAGGCTGATCTGTGAGCTATGTTGTTGTTCAACTTGTAATTTTGGGTAGATATAGTACTTAATTTTCTTAATTTTTGTGTACTCTGTTACATGCACACTCATTCATTCATTCATACAGAATGTGCAAAGAAAAAAAATATCATAAGGTCCAAAACATGAAGGGAATACAACAAACAGTTCTTACCTGGTCCACAATTAGCCAACAAGAGCAGAGGGGGAGGTAGCAGCAATCACTTTAGTACGCAATAGTGCAGGGTAATGAACAGTCTGTATAGTACTCAATAACACGCCAAAGTCACAACAATAACAGCAAAAGGCAATATAACGGAACAAGTCGCAATGTTCAAAGTCAGGGTAAACACTAGTGTGGTAATGGCCTGGGTTGGTAGGCAGCATACTGGTATTATACCCCTACAATACGTGGTTTTCATTTAATAAACCTGGGCTGGTATACACAAAACTCTTATGCTAATAACAAATAGTTCTGTTAGCTAGCAGTAAAATTTAAAAGTTATACACAAAGCTTAACAAGCAAACTTTTACCGCAGATATAGTTTGTTTGTTAAGTACCGCTAAACAGCACTAAGGATAGCAGGAGTTCATCATATAAAATGGTCTTATGGCTGAATAACCTCAATAAAATTATGAAGATTAATTTCAATATTTACATTTTGTTCATTAAAATTAAATAAAAATCTAATCTATGCTGTTTGAAGGAGGGCATATTAACCAAGGATAGTGATCGGTGGCTTGGCCTTGCCGTGCTGCTTGTAAACACACGTGTTATTGAAGGAGCAGACAAGTTGAACATCATGGAAATGGAAGCCTCAACCCCACGATAGAAAGGTTAGCCCAACTGCACAGCAAACCAGACTTTATTATTGGTGGGGCCATTGAAATAAAAAACGTTAATATTGAATGGCCGCTTCAAGCCTTTCCTCAATAATAAAGAAAAAAATTCGTGCATCATGCACTGAACCAGGCCACCTTGCCACAGTGTCCATTATTTTGTATGTAGCATTAAACACTACTTGTACATTTATGCTATGGTAGCATTTCCTGTTAACATATAAATGTTCATTTACACGAGGAGCCACAATCCTTATGTATGTAACTATGTATGTGTGTGCCATCAATCGCACCCACACCGGGAACCCACCAATTCAGCTGCTTTCTTTGAATTTCTCTCTGGGTGAGTGGGAACTTCACAAACTGACAAAAAATGTTTGGTTCAGTTAGTGCATTCAGTGTCTGAGTTATAGTACGGCTGATAGTAGGCTGAGTGATTCCCAAATCATCACAGCTACACAGTTGCATAACTCAAGGTTAGGGTCACTTTCATCTCTGGGGTTAGAGCCCTATTCCTCCCAGTTATACTTTGTAGTGTTTCCCTCACTAAATCAGTCACCTCCATGATACCTGCACGGTCCAGTCGGTATCGCATGATTAGTTCAGAATCACTATATTCATTAAATATATCTCTCCTTTCCCGATAAATGGGTTGCCACCGCTGATGATGTTGGTTCGCCAGGGTATCAACAAACAGACGATTATAACGGGACTTAAAAGTGCTTCTGAGGTCTTTTAACTTACCAGAACTATTAAGGCCCTTAAAAGTTTTGTGTATGTACTATTAGTGCTTAACAGGAAAATGTCAACCTTAACAACTGTTTGCGAGCACTTAAAAGTTTTGTGTATACCGGCCCTGGTTACCCAAAAATATTTTGATTTTTGCTGGAAAAGCTAAATACTGTAAAAGTTTCTAAAATCCTTTTTAAAATTCAGGTTGGCTGCTTCATAGGTAATATCTTATACAACGTCTCCTTTCCAAGTGGTTTAGTGTTGGCCTTGAAAATCCAACGTTGTCACAATCTAAGTGGGCCGGGAGACATATCACACTAGGCATTTATTTTACACCACTTTATTTTTTTTATTTCCACCTTTTTTCCTTTTTTTTAGACCCAGAATACTGGATAGGTAGGTAAAGAGAAAAATTTAATTCAAACAATCCTTTTTTATTTACTTACATGTGGCAATTCTAAATGGAATGTGACTCAGAGAGAGACCTCTGCTACACAGCAAACATGCCATAGTGAGTTTCAGACATGGCTTACATAAAAAATTTACATTTACATAATTATATACTTATTTTGCTATTTAATGTCAAATATGTAGATGTTATTCACCGAAGCAAGTTTCAGGAGTCGGCACTTGACATACCAGATATGCTATCGGGTAAGGTCCACCCAACCGCCCCTACCTTTACGCTACCATCTGTTATGTTCTCATCACACCTACACCCACCCATATACAACCACATTGCCTGCTCAGTAGAGATGCCCACCTGGAGCACAGAATCCCCATTTTTTCAACTTTCCTCCTGAAATTTTCCCAGTGTGTTGAAGATTACTAAACCGAACAATTGCAGATCGTTAAATAACCAAGGGTGCTAGAAATTTCAAATCGTTTAAGCGAACGATCACTAAACGGCGGATACCCGTATGTGGTGTAAAATAGTTTTGGGAGATAGATGTCCTGCTTATGGGTGATGCTAGTTTGCGTGAAGTAACAAGGAAAAATCAAGTACAGTATTCCAGGTTCTTATTGTAGAGAGAGATCACCTTAGTAGAAATAATCTAAGTGATAGTTATTTCATGACAGTAAATAAAGGGAATGTCTGTGGATGCTTGATTTATTGCTAAGCTTTTACAAACTAAGATTTATATACATGCTCTCACACACAGCTACACTTATTGGCAGTGTAACCCGGGTGGGCTATGCGCACTCTAATTATAATCATTCATAATCAGCCGTCAATCATAAAAAAGGATATTTCAGGATGCAATTACTCGAAGTATTTTGAGATTACCCAGTGTGATGATAATATTGTATTACACAGTGAAGAGGTTATTCAATTCCTATACTATAACTTTTTTTCAAAGTGTATTTAATTCTAAGTTATAAGCTTCTTTATTCTGAGTCTGACAAATAAGCTAAGAATATTACTCACTTGAGAGGATTCACTTCCTGAGCATCCTTCTTTTTGAAGTTCTTAGACTTCATTCCAACGTAGTCCACATAGAATGGCTCCCCTTCCACTTCCATTTTGGAAATTTTTTCCTTCATGTGAATTGTCTCTTTCTCAGATTTAAATTCCATAAAACAATGCCTGAAAAAAAAAATAGAAAAATTAATGAAAAGCAAAAGTACCTGTAGTTTTATTCTCAATCATATACTTAATTGTTACACAGTACAATACTGTAATACTTAACTGTACTGTATCAGCGATTTCATGTCATGTTTCGGGATGGTGATTTGACAAAACCGCATTGGGGAAAAATGAAGGATAGAGACAGGGACAAACATCCCTGATGCAGTAGCATCACATCACTCACCACAGCAACTCCACACTGTTGCCAACACTGGATATCACCATAGTATATTATTGAATGACTATACCATACTATATTGCTGAGGGGTGTATATTTATTGACTGTACCATATGAAAAGCACTATAAAAAATCGTACTATAATACAACCCTAATGTACAATAGTCTACTTCAAAATATGTAACAAAACAGAAAAAGTTATGGTCACTGAAAATTTAATTTATGGTAAAAATACTTTCTGTATTCTGTAAAAAGAAAAAATTATTTGACAGTTGATATATTCAACAAATTTGTCTTGCACAAAAACTGGATCATGCTACACATCATAAGAACTATGGCAGAATCCCTACTCTGTTTTTCACTTACGTATAATACTTTTCAGCCGTTGCCCGAGGAAAGCGTATATCAACTGCATTTTTCACCAAATTCTTTGCCTCGGTATCCTTGCAGATTCTCAATGATTTTGGAAAGCGGACATAAAGGGTTCTGTTGTCCCTATTACCTGCCCGCCCTTCTTGATCTGCCAACAACCTTGCACTTAATTCCATCTGCAAAAGCATGTAATTAACCAGTCAAAAAATGGGTATATTGAATCCTGAAATTTAATTTTATCATCCAAAGGAGAATGAACGACATGTGACAGACCCCACACTGTTGTAATTGCATACAGCATTGACGGGATCTCAATTGGAATCTCCTTCAGTCATAACTAAATCACACAATGCCCATCATACAGACAAGCCATCGAGTCATAGGCAAATGCCACCATGCAAGTTTGCATAATCACTTCTTCCCTCAAGCATAAAACAGAATTCCCAGTATAGTTTTTCACTAGTTTTCATGCTATACTGTACTCCCAGAAGATGGATGGAGAGACAAGTCATTCATTCTGCTTTCAACCATACTATAACAACAAAAGTTTTCACCTTAACTATTTGTTCTCATCCTAACAATAAATGGTTCTCAGCTTACTATAACAATAGGTCCTCAGCTTAGTATGACAGTTTTCAGTCTACTATAAGAGGTACTCTGCCTAACAATAACAAGTCCTCAGCCTAGTATAACAGGTTCTCTGCCTTTCTATAACAAGTTCTCTTAACATGTCTGGTGAACAATCAAATTAAAACTTTCAATTCTCTGACTCATTTCTATTTCCTAAGGAAACAAAGCTTGAAGTCAAGTACATTTACTCCAAGTTTGGCAGACTTTAGCATAATAGACCATGTCCTAGCCCCTTTAACCCTTTGGACACATATTGTGTCTCTAAGCCGCATTCCCTTTTTACTTATTTTATCAAGACACAACCATAAAGCATCCATGTGTTCATATGGAGCATTAATACTTATTAAAAAGTCAGACACCAAGGGAGGAACTATGAAGAAAAAATTTAAATGAACAATTTAAGGATTCTTCATTTTATGCTATAAAAATTAGTTAATACTATACTGTACAGTAATATAAAAATTGTCGTCAAGTTCTTAAAAGCATTATTCGGGCATTAGAGGGAAAATTATTATGCACAACTTGAGGTAAAATTTCACATTAAAAATACTTTGCCATGTCCTTTGATTTCAGGCAAAGCAAATTACAGGGGGGTCCCCGACTCACGAATGTCCGACTTACAAACACCCGCCGATACGAACGGGGTTAACCTTGATATTTACAGTATTTTATTTACCTGATGACTTATTTTTTACTTTCATTTACTGTATTTTGTCATTCTATTTCTTCTTTTGTCTTAAATAAAGTGATTTTAGAAGTACTGTATATAAAGACTTAGGCTATGATATAACTGGATTTTAAACACTGTTCTGTAAGTACGGTATGCACATAACATGTTCCTACTTGCATACATATGCACTTAAGAACGTCCTCAGGAACGGAACCCGTTCGTAACCCAGGGACCCCCCCCCGTACTCAATTTATACTGTATTTGTGTTTTCACGAGTAAGAAAAATACTTGGAGGCAACAGAGAACCAAATTTAATGGTTTAATGGCCATATTTGAATGATTGCTACACATTCTTGCACTGCCAAAAAAATTAAGAAAAATTAATAAACCATTTATGGATCTCTCGTTTTATGCTATAAAAATTTGTCAAATCTATAACAAGTGCTGCCAATTAAATATATATATACCTGTACATATTACTCTGGCATTAGAAAAAAAATCTTTATACAGTAGTATACAGTACAGTACAGTATACCCTAAAAACTGCTGCCTTGGACTCATTCTGCCATCTTTGCTTTTGTTTACACTTACCTATGTCTCTGACTTCGCGTTTTGTTTTGTTTTTCTGACTTCATGTGTTATGCAATCATGCCTAAATGCCCAAGTGATAGTTTCTCTTGTGGTGGGGGTAGTTTGATGTGATAAGACGTAATAAGAAGTAATGAGAGTAGGGATGGACTAGGAAACATTGGTAGACTTGACTTTTTCATTTTTTCTTATTAGTGTGTTACTCAAATATGCCTAATTGCTCCAATGATAGTTCCTCCTGTGCTGGAAAGCTTGATGTGATGTAATAAGGCATAATAAGAGTGGTGATGGATAAGCAAAGATTGGTAGACTTGAACCTACCACCCTAAACTTTCTCTACCATTCTCAACACATGCAAGTCTCAATTTATGCTTTGCAATGCTTATTTAAGGCTTATTATGCTTGGTTTATATGTTTGCTTTATTATTCTCATTTGACAGAGTGCACGACAAAGATATATCAAGGGAAGATGGGAGTTTTTGGAGGATGGCCAGTCCCTAACCTTCTGAATTTGTTATGTTCTTATAGGATTAATTGCTAACCAACGACATTTCCTGGTCCCTATATGCGTTGGTTATTGACGACCACCCGTATACATAATATATTTTGTTCAACTACAGTTGTACAGTGCATCAAAAGGGGTTAAAGATGAGTCTTAAGGAACCGAGTCTAGGACTCTTTCTATACAGTGTACACAGAAATTTACGATATTCTCCTACCTAAGCACAAGCTAGAAAGAAAATACAGTAAAATCTCTCTAGGCCACAACTTCTTAAAGGTGAAAAATTTGGGCTACTGATTAGAAAAAGAAAAATGGTGATGCAGGTATGTAAGGTCTTGTGGCTTGGTTGCAGCTCAATGTGTTGTCTTGGTCCTCAACATGGTAACCTAAAAATCATTAAAACAACATGCAACATTTAGAAATATTCTCACCTTTTCAGTTCCCCACACAACAGGTCTCTTCCGTTTCCTTGATCTCTTCAAACCACCTTGACTGCTAGTCATTTTACCCCTAAAATTTCCTTTCCCTTGCTGCATTATGGTATTTTTGCTAAGTTTCTCTTAGCAATTGTTGATTTGACTTCCCTTTGGTATCTGAAAGTAAAAAAACAAAAACATAAAATGAGTTATAACATACAAATACTAATTCTCATGAGTGAAACTTCAACAGATAATAAACATGGTAAACTTCACATAGATTAATTTAGGTAGGTTATACAAAGTAGCACAATGTATATACAGTACAGTAAGTAAGGCTGGGTTCAGTCTGGTTGGGTTAGACTTGTAACCTAACATTAGACATGAACCCCAAAAATAGTTAACTAGCCTCTAACTTACCCAGAACAATTATATCCCGTAAATCTGACGTTTATGAACTTGCCTTCTAAAAACTCGTTGAACATGTAAGTATACTTTTCTTAAGTGACTGGAAAGTAATTTTTTACTGAACATGAATTATGTAACAGTCTATATATTTACCCCATGTTAGGTAGGCTACAGCAGGGCTCAAAAATGCCTGGCTTTGGTTCTGTTGCAAGAATGAGTTTTGAGGCCACTCCACAACCTAACATTTCCTTTTATTTCTTACGGGAAAATTGTTTGATTTATGCGTATTTGAGTTAAGCGGCCATTTTAAAGAACGCATCAACCACGTAAATTGAGAGGTAGCTGTAACAATACAGTGATTTGCATTTTTTAATTGGAGACAAGTTCTCAAGAAACCCAAACTCGACCCCTTGATAAGATATTGAGTCATCCTAGATTCCAGTTGCTTTGCTTACATGCCATAAACAATGCCAAATTACACACTTTTTCTTATAACACTAAACTTATATTGTACATAATTATCAAATACAGTATAAATTAAGATGTAAAAACAGTTTTCTTTTATTTAATTTGCTAAGAGACTGTGCTGCTGTAGAGCGAGACAAGTCTATTTGTCCCCAGTGAACTTGAGCAAAGTTCAGTCTTGTTAGCAGATGCTATTGGTGTAAGGGCCATACTGGAAATAAGTACAATACCCTGTTTTGCATGGCTTTGTCAGCTAACCTTGATCAACTTGACTAAATATCACTTGTTATATGGTGATTGTAGCGCAGACATGAGGCTGAAGCCAGATTAGGCTTGGCTTCGGCTTTGAAACTTTCTAAAGGCTGCAGCTGCTATCAAATGCACAGACAAATAGACATACTTCTTTGTTATATGGACTAAAAATGAAGTATATATATGGTACCTCGTGTTTCATACCAGCTGGATTCAGTAAAATGCTACTGACACCACATACGAGGCACGGGCAGTTCCCAATGAGGTTCACGGCGCCATCAGCTCGATGAACAGGCTTTGTGTGAAATATAACAGAGTCTAGGACTGCTTTTAGTGTCCTTGTGGTGGGTTGGTCGGTAGAGTTCCCGAGTCCCACCCAGTAGGTCGAGGGTTCGATTCCTGGCTGGTGAGGTCGTTGATTATATATATATATATATATATATATATATATATATATATATATATATATATATATATATATATATATATATATATATATATATATATATATATATATATATATATATATATATATATATATATATATATATACTCCTCGACTTACGACCACCCTGGAATACGACCGCCACAGTTGTATAAAATATTTTTCAAATTACTTATTTTCGAGTTCCAACGTTAGTGATCGCGCTGTGTACTGACAAAATTTTCGTTTGTAATTCCCTTTATAATGGCTGGCAAGCGTAAAAGTGAGAGTTCTCGTGGTGCTGAGAAGAAAAAGAGACACCCATTTTAGATTTTCTATGTATTATTTTCGCATTTTTGACTTACGACCTGGTCGTCGGTCCCTAACCCCGTCGTAAGTCGAGGACTATATATATATATATATATATATATATATATATATATATATATATATATATATATATATATATATATATATATATATATATATATGTACTAGCTGTCTCGTAAATTGGGTACGAGTTGACATGTTCTCATGGGTACAATTTGCTTGGGTATGAGTTGTCTAGCACCCTTCCTCCTCGCCATTGCTGATGTATATCAACCTCAATATTAAGGTAAATTGTTAACACATAAATTAACACGATAATGCATAGAACCTAATAGAACCTGACCTAACAAACCCATAGGTTGGGTATGTTAGGTCAGGTTCTATTAGGTTCTATGCATTGTCGTTTCCATTTTTGTGTTTAAAATCATGATATTAGTGTGCAGAAAATTGTTCAACCAATTCGGACAATTCCTTCTGGTGGTCACCCTTTTATCCACCCTTTCCATCTATGTGTAAAAAACTAACTTATTTTGCCGTGAGTCAATCGCTGTGTACACCCTACCAAAAGGAGTTGATCGATTTTGATCATTTGTCCACAGATGTTTTTATTATTATAGGATATAACATTTACTAGAACCTAATAAAACCTGGACTACCAACCAAAGAAACCTACCTAACTTCCTAGCTAGGGGACCCTTTTGGGGGCTTTTTTTTATTATTATAGATAACAGTAATACTTGAATATAACCTAAAAACCATTTCATAAAATTTCTGTTAATTATGATAGATGTTGACCATGATACAAACCTCAGAAGGTGTTGCTGAAGGAGCTGCACCAGCCTTGTTTACCAGTGAACCTAACCAACACGTGGACTAGTGGGGGGTCCTGTATGGTGGCTTCATCCTCACTCTTATTTTGGACTCTGAACCTTGCAGACAACTCCCCGAATCCTATTTGCCCACACAGGTAGACAGTTTCATTCACTATTTATCGAATCACCTTGAGTCTACTAAAATGTCAGTTTTTTCTACTATGTTCTTAAGATGTCTGCGTATTTGTGACTCTGAATTGAAACACATTCATTCCATTGCACAGAAACTCGGGTACCCTTCTGTGTTTGTTGATCGTTGTTTTAAAAAGGCTAAAAAATCCTTTCATTCCTCTCAAACCAGACATGTCCCTACACTTAAGAATATTTTGACTCTGCCCTATCGTAATGAATTTGTCCCGTTAGTTCGGTCCCTCAAGCTTCTAAATATTAATGTTGTTTTCAAAGTATGACTCAACCATTACCAATATGTTAATAAGAAATAGCCCAAGTTTAAATGTAAATGGAAGTGTTCATTGTATTCCATGTCGCAAATGTAATTGTAATTATGTAGGACAGACAGGAAAAACACTGCAGCTTAGAATCAAACAACATAAGTATAATATCAGAACAGCATCTGAAAGCAGTGCCTTGTTCGTTCATGTTAGGAATAATAATCATCCCATTGCTTGGGAAAAAAGCTTAGAAGTATTTAAATCATCTTGTCTCACAGAAAGACTTCTGGTTGAAGCTAGTTTGATTAAGGAATTAAAATCAATAAACCTTAGTGATGGTCAGTTCAAAACTGATAATATGTTACATAAATTTATTTGTCAGTGGCCCAAGGTTAAAAATGCTTTGAAAACCTTTGATCTAGATGTACATAAGAACATAAGAAAGTGGGATACTGCAGGAGGCCGACTGGCCCATACAGGGCAGATCCCTTTCACACCCATCCCAGCACTTCCATGTGCCTATCCAACTTCGTCTTGAAGCTCCCTAGCGTCCCCGATCCTACTATAGCACTCGGTAGTCTATTCCACATATCCACAACTCTATTTCCAAACCAGTGCTTGCCTATATCCTTTCTGAATCGGAATTTATCTAATTTAAAGCCATTTGTTCTAGTTATTTCGTTATTACTGAGCTTCAGAACATCTTCCATTTTACCCTTGTTAATCCCACTTACCCACTTGTACACCTCTATCATATCTCCCCTAACTCTACGCCTCTCTAATGAATGTAAGCCTAAGCTTTTCAGTCTTTCTTCATATGGAAGGTTTCTAATATTATGGATCATTTTTGTCATTCTTCTTTGTACTCTCTCCAAAGAATCTATGTCCATTCTATAATAAGGACACCAGAATTGAACCGCATAATCCATGTGTGGCCTCACTAATGCTAGGTAAAGTTTCAAGATAACGTCAGCAGTTCTGTTACTCACACTCCTAGATATGAACCCAAGAATCCTGTTTGCCTTGTTGCGAACGCTAATACATTGTTTTCTAGGTTTCAAGTCGTTGCTAACAAATACACCTAGATCTTTTTCACAATCTGAGTTTTCTATTTCCGTGTTACCTAGTTTATACTTAACGTTTGTATTCGTCTTCCCTATCTGTAGTACCTTGCATTTATCAGTATTAAAATTCATTTGCCAGTCTACTGACCACTCATGTAAGGTATCTAGATCTCTTTGAAGGTGTTCAAAGTCACTGTCTGAATTTATCACTCTCCCCATTTTGGTATCATCTGCAAATTTACTAATCCTACTAGTTATACCTAAATCAAGATCATTAATGAATATAACAAACAGTAGAGGGCCAAATACAGATCCCTGGGGAACTCCGCTTTTGACCGCACCCCAGTCTGTCAATTTCAAATTTACGAACACAATATGAGGTACTGAGAAATACCAGAGTCTCTCCGGTAATGTTTAAGAGAAAATGAAGGACTGACGCGGTTAGAGCATGGACGTCTCAACTGGGGTACTCAACAGTTTTACACGTTTTGTGGGCGGTGTAGCATAATATGAATAATTAAGTGTTAAACAGACTAGCCATGCTATTGTGACTGTGACAATGTAACAAACACTGATACTTTCATCGACAAGTTTTAGATCTGTTTAAGACTCATCAATCTGATACAGTTGGTATCGTGGAACTGTTGTATAAAAATGGGAAGATCGACCCGGAGGATTCTGAGTTAACAAATATGGCTACGACCCATTTACGAATCTCTCTGAGGCAACCTGTAGGAGGGGTGTGGTTATTTAAACTAGGGTGTATTTGCAGATCCTAGAATTATAGTTAATTAACCCCTTCAAAAATTAAGATCCCTTAATTCTAGTCACCTCCTTGTCACGATAGGAATGAAATTACACCAAATGACATTAACAATCCTGCAACTCATTTGGTAGAAGCTCTGAGAGACAATTTCCTATTCCAACATATTGAAGACCTGACTCACTACACTGGTGAACAAACACCCAAACTACTGGGTCTCATCATAACTAACGAGGAGTGTAGGGTGGCCAAGAGGGAACATTTAGCCATCGTTGGCATTAACTATCACGCGATATTATCCTCTAGATTTAACTGTTATATAGTACAAGATGAGTGCAGGCCATGGTCTGACTCATTGAGAAACAAAGATGCAACTACCCTGGATATCATAGACAGTTAACTATATGGAGGATAAAACGTGCCCCTGAACCAAACCCATAAGAGAGGAGGCGAACAACGGCTTCACAACATAGTAACGCACATTGAGTTCTCAGAAATATACAGGAGATCTAAAATGTCAAGCTCAAGTTTAAAAAAAGCCCTGACCATGGTAGTATGCATCCCAGTGTATGAAGAAGGATTGCAGAGCCCCTTAAAAATATTGTTCTGCAGATACATAGATGAACAAAGGGACTCTATATTCAAACCGGGAGATCGCCTTACCACCAATATTAAATTTATACATACTCCACAAACGGTTACTGCACCATCACTGTAATATAAAGAACACTAAGTATGGGTTGACAGACTAGACATAAGTACAGTACTTCCTTACGAGTTCCATAAACAGTAGTGTATATCAACAATGCTTAATGGTCTCGTGAAATAAAATAGTTGTTCCTCAGTTTTGTGTCTTGGTGATAAAAATATGCCAAGGCGAGGCGACGCTGTAGAAAGAGGAGATTGTGTTACGAGTCCCACGGCCATTCAGCCCTCTTGATCAAGCAGAACAAAATACAGTGTTGTGGAGGAAGTGTCTTAAACTGTGGTTAAATGTGGGAAAAGTTTACGAGGAACAATAATTGGTCACGTTACGTGTGCCAAGAGAAGCCTGTCTAAACACTCCACCGCTTCTTTGATACTTTGGCAAACTTTTCCTCCTCGTTAATAGCTTGGATGAGCTCCAGTTCCTCTCTCTCTCTCTTTCTTTCTCCTCCAGCAATTGAGAGATGAATTTAACACAATAAATTTCAGATGTTCTTTTTCTTTTCTCCCACGCTTGGAGATAGTCTCATCGGGTCTCCAGTTTCATTTATGTCTTTTCCTTCCACCCGAGTGGAGACACATGTCTCCCAAGTTGTATAGAAAATTTCCCAGCCTCATGTTTTTTAATGTTAAAGTCACTGGCATAAATTTTGGGCCAAACAACGCATCTTTGTTCTATATTTATGGCCAATATTTCTAACCTTTTTCTGGAATTTTTTGCCATTTCCCAACTTAAAGGTCTGGTCAAGTTCTTTCAGTCAAGAGGTTCGATACAGCGGCTGCTCGACCCCCCCCCCCACCTCCCAGTCTCTCATTCACTTTGGGAAAGTTTTTTCTTCAAGGCTCGAGTCATCAGCTCTTATTACACATTATTCCCACCTCGGGGAGATAGAACGGTGGAAATCTCACTTCCACGAGGTAGAAGCTGGATTAAATGACTGTAGAATACCAGCTGGAGGCCGACGGGGTAGACATATCCCTCGGGTGTGGGTGTAGACAGATCCCTCGGGTGTGGGTGTAGACAGATCCCTCAGGTGTGGGTGTAGACAGATCCCTCGGGAGAAGTTAGATACTGTCCATAGATTGGGGTCGCGAGGAGGCGATACATTTGTTCCCGCCTGTCGTCTTCTCTGGTGATGTCAAGATCATTTTAGTGTCGCCTCCCTCCCTCCCTCTGTTACTTGTGGGTGGTGGCTTCTTCCTCACCGCTCAGGCTGATTTTCCTCAGCTTATTTCACCTGAAGATTAACCACCCTAACGCTAACCTAACCTAACCCCTCAGAGTAGAGTTAGGGTGGTTGATCATCAGGTGAAATAAAACGTGAGGGGAAAATCTTCAGGTGATCCTTATGAATGTCCATAAATAAAAACCTTCCTAATACGACTTAAAGAAAAGCCTAGAAAATCCTTTGAAGGTTTGAGTGTAGAGACCGACAGTGTTCAGTCCTCTGCCTTCATCTCTCACTGCTTCAACTTTCCTTCGTCTCCTTTAAAACTTACAGACTAGTTTGTTTAGTTAGTTTATTTCTGTTTACTCCTGTTCGTTGGTGGCTTTTAACTCGATTTCTCGAATTTATGTGAGTTTGTTTCATCACCAGAGTCCGAGAACCGCTGATGGCCCTCACCGACGCCCTCACCGACGCTTCGTGTTTGGATGTTTTTGTCTCAACTCCTGGCTGATGTTAAGTTATCATAAACTCACAAGATCACTCAATAAACATTACTTCGCCCTCAACTTGTACAGACGAACAGACAAACTTAATATTTACGAGCAAAACAACAACAAAATCCTGCAAGTTAAACAACTGAAAACTCACTTATGTTGGTAAAACATCAGAATATGATGATATATTCGTTCTACAGGAAGGAGGGAGAAAGCTCGTCTGACTTCGTTGTCATAAGCTTGTTAATAGAGAACAGTGGGGTCTCCAGGCTGAGCTGCTGAGTACTCGTGATGGCGCTGTTTCTCTGGTGTGAGCCAAAGTTGCCTTACAACTTGTTACACTCGAGATGGTTCAGTAACCACCTGACGCGGGACTCACGACAATAAGAGGGAGGTGCACTGGATGCCCCAGTATCCACTCACTACACGGGCAGCAATAACTGGGAGGCCACACACCACGTCTGCCTCACACTCACTGTCCCGAGAGATTTATATCACCTACAGATTTTCCGTTCCCTGTAAAAGATCTTTATCCTATATTGAAGTTGAAACTCGAACTGCTATAAATTTACG